ACGAACATAGTTATATTTATATTAAACTGCACACTTTGTAAATAACATATCTGCACACTAATAAACATATCTGTACATTTATCTAAACAATTACATTTTTTCCTATACTTTTATTTCTGTATATAGTACATTATTTACATTTTTTTTTCTTATATTAGTGTTATATTCCATCCCTACTGTGTTATTCCAATGTATGTCTGCACTATGTCTGTACTAGACATGTGCCGGTCCATCTCAAAAATATATCTAAATTACGACCTATGCTCTCAATGTCAAATGCAGAAATGTTAATTCATGCGTTCCTCAAGGTTACCTCAAGGTTAGATTATCGTAACGCTTTATTGTAGGGATGTACCAATACCGATACGTATCGGGCCCGATACTGAGCTCCTGTACTCGTACTCGTACTCTTTAAAATGCTCACTTCACTTCAGAAAAAGTGGTCGGTGCATCCCTACTTTATTGGGTGGTTGTTCTGCATGCTTAATAATCTAACTCCATTAATGCTGTTCAGTTGCTTTGACACAATCTGTATTGTTAAAAGCGCTATATAAATAAAGGTGACTTGACTATATATATATATACACTGGTATATAAGAAAATACACTATAAAATAATAATAATAATAATAATATGAAAAGCAACACTGAAAAATGAAAGCTACATAGAAATATATAAGAAAATGAATAATATTTGTTTATAATAATATTGTCACAGTACAGAAGGAGACCAAGGACGGAGAGGTAAACTGCTGGAGATGGACATGCGCTGAGTCCCAGACCCTCTCGCTCTCTCTGAACCAGTGATCCACCACTGGAACGTCTGAGGGTTCTCCCGTCCATGGGAATAGGGGAGGTTGGTAACCGAGTACGCACTGAAACAGGGTGAGGCCGGTGGTTTGCTGACGAAGGGAGTTTTGTGCGTACTCGGCCCAGGGAAGGTAGAGGTTCTGGTGGCAATAGCTACGGAGGTATCTCCCGATCTCTTGGATCTTGCGCTCAGTCTGGCCGTTGGACTGTGGGTGATATCCGGAGGTGAGGCTTACTGATACGCCAAGGAGATGGAAGAAGGCCCTCCAGACCCGGGAGATGAACTGGGGCCCACGATCGGCGATGATATCCTCCAGGATGCCGAAATTGCGAAATACTTGGTCGAATAACTGTGTTGCGATTTCCATGGCCGTGGGTAATTTTCTGAGTGGGAGTAGTTTACATCCTTTTGAGAATTGGTCGACAACTACGAGGATACAGGTGTGTGATTCGGACTTGGGGAGATCGGTGACGAAGTCGACTCCGATGTGGGACCAGGCTGGATCTTCCCACGACCCAATGGCTTTCCTTGGATGGTAAGGATATTAAGGACATGGGCATATTTCAGCTGTCGTAGTTCAAGTCGTTGGAGTGTGTTGCGGGATATGAAGTTCCCTGAAGAAACAGAGTCTACAAGGGCTTGCGCTGAAAGGGATTGGTGAGATGAAATTAATGATACATTCATTCTAGTCAAGGTAGCAATTTGAGGGCTGAGCTGGATAGTACTCACCGAGGGTCGTGAGGGACGGATAGGACACGAGCGAATCAAGTGTCCCTGCTCCCCACAATACAGACATAGTCCGGTTGTTATCCTCCGTGAACGCACCGCATGGGTGAGATGGTACGAATCCAGAGTGCGAATGGCCTGACTGTTACTCTCCCACATGGACTGGGCCCAGTGAAGAGCGCGGCTGGCGAGATGAGAGATCATGAAGGCCACTTTGGCGTGGTCATGGGGAAAGACTTGTGACTGCATCTCGAAGTATAGGGAACATTGTAACAAGAAGTCACCACAATCCGCCACCTCACCGGAGAAGATAGCGGGCCGTGCCATGGGACTGTGGGAGGCAGATACAACGGGTGTACGGAAGGCTTGGATTAAATCCTCCAGTGATGGGGGGTTCGGTGGTTGTGGCTCCATGGAGAGTTTGGGGTTAGGTCTGGTCTTCTGTCACAGTACAGAAAGAGACCAAGGACGGAGAGGTAAAGTAAACAGGGATCTTTATTTAACAGGTGCTAAGAGAGAGAGGGATGGAGAGCAAACGGGTTAGGTCAACAGTCTATGGAATGGAAGGGATCTAGCTCACGTGATGACGGGTTCCTTCTAGGATCGGGCTGAAGAGGATTGCACAGAGAAAGGTAGATTTCAGGATGGAGTCCGGGTTAGTGATCCAGGTAAGGAGTAGCGTAGTGAACTCAAGACCAGACGAAGTGTGACTGCAGTGACTGAGCATTTGAGCTAGTGTTGATGAGGTGGTGACAGGTGCGGCTGATTAGTACTCCGGTGATTGTGAGCGGGTGTGTGAGGTGATTGGGCCTGACGAGGCTGGACTATCCCTGACAAATATTATATATTATATAACATTTTATTATGTAATATACATGTGAAGAATATTGATATAATACACTATAAAATAATAATAAATTAATGTGTGTGTATGCATGCATTTATATACCATGCTCAAAAAACATAAATACTATTCTTTAAAAATAATAAATAAATAAACACATTGGGGTTTTCCGAAACCCAAAACAGTCAATCATGTCATTAATAAATATACCTTACCAGATCCCATATTTTCTTCAGAAACTAATCTTTTGGATTCACTCATTCTCAGCTTGATTCCTTTTACATTTGGGGAGAAAGGAAATTCTTCATCGTCCTATTTGACCTAGATTCCTTTTCACAG